AAAAAAAAAAAAAAAAAAAAAAAATGAAAAAAATGAAAAAAAAATTGAAAAAAAAAATAATCAATTGCCGAGATTTGCATATATGGTATTGTGCTTTATAGAGTTGTGTATGTATGTTTTCTTAGGAGATAATTGGAGATAGAGGATGGTGATTTTTCATCGATGTCTTGTTCGATTTTTTTTAGTCACTTGGCCTATATTTTCCTACCTTGTCCAAAGAGCCTACATTACAACTCAAAAGTCCTTTTGATTCATAGCTCACGTACATTAATTGTATTTAGTAGAGTATAGACGATTTGCAAGCTTATGGTTGACTTTGTGTTTCGAGCTAACTTGAGCGTACCCTTCTATTTTATTTTTCGATTTCACAAGATATTTGAGTGAGGTACATTTATATTTGACCTTATTTGAGAGATCATTAATTCAAAATTTTTATCAAGTTAAGAGTTGGGGCATATGTATTTGCGATTACTTGAATTTATCTTGATTATTTAAGTGACTTGAGGCTTTTCTTGTTTGAAAATCACTTTTCATGCACGTGGTTTGTTTTTGCTTATTAGTTGTTCGGGGACGAACAATGGTTAAGTTTGGGGGATTTGACATGCGTCATATTTACGTGCATTTTATAGTGATTTTCGTGTTCGTTTCGTCGTAGTTTAATATATAATTAGTTATTATGTAATTAATTATTATATAATTACTTATGTATTTAATTAATTTTATTAAGCTATGATGAAGTGTTTTATATGAGTTTTGACAGAAAATAGGGTCGAACTAATTTTTGGAGTCGAAAACGGTGACAAACGGTTGAAGACGGTGTGCGAGTTGCGTATTGAAATGGACCCATTTACTAGCTTTATGGAAGAAAAGGAATCTGGACTTTTGGCCTAGTAAGGCCCACTATCTTGCAGCCCGTGAGAGGTCATAATGGACAAAAAGAAGTAGCCCAATTGCTAAATTAAGTGAGGACATATATGTAATTTTGCATGGAGAATTGTTTGGAGCATCTTCTTCGTACGTACTTTGAGTTTTTCCTCCATGAAAGCTGCTGAAGCTTCGTTGTCCGTCCGCCAACTCGCCACCGCGCCGCCACACCTATCTATGATGGTGGGATGTCGGAAACACGCAGCGAGACATCCATATCCATCAAGAACTGTCATTCTGTTACCGGAGAGGAGCAGAGCCGCCGCTCAGGAGGACGGAGATTGCTCGGAGCTGGCCGGAAAATGCCATACACAGCCACCTGAACATTTGCTGATCAACGAGAGATTCATTAGACGCCGGAAATTCGACCACGAGCCACGAACCGAGCTGAGAATGACGATTTGAAGCTGTTTTGAGCCCCCAGTTTCACACGGGTCGTGTGGGCATGGACACGGCTCGTGTCGTTCCGACGGGTCGCTGATCGAGCTCTTGACTTTTTCACACGACTCGTGTGGGCAGTGACACGAGTCGTGTGACCCTGGGCGCGACGTTTTTCCTATTATTTTGGTATTTTCGACCTATTTCAACTAGGACTCGACCCCAACTATATATATAACACTTGGACACGTTTTTGGGGAAGAGAGGACCTAATTTTCAGATCTTTGGAGACTTTTGGAGGCTAGAAACAAGAGCAAGACGAGGGAGAAAGCCCGGGAAGAAGGGATCGAGGGAGCCGAATAAGCTTTTTCTTTCTTTTTCTTTTCTTCTTTCGAACTCAATGTTTTATATTTATTTTGAAAGCATGTTTCTAGGCTAATTTAATTTGGATTCTAGGATTTGTTAGTACTCGGATTGATTTATGATTTAGTTTTTATTTATTTCATTCCGGTTTATCTTTCGTTTATGAATTTCTTGTGCGTATTATTATTGTGTGAGTAGATGGCCACTATGAATGCATATTTGTAATTGATTTGAGACCGAGAGGAGATAATTGATTGCTAGAATTAAGAAATTTATAACGTAGGAGACTAAACAGACCGAGAGGTTGATAGAATCTTGCGAGAGAACGAAAATCTTAGGAACTTATGGGAGTTAGTTGTTCATCTTGAGACCGAGAGGAGATAGATAACAATTAATATCTAGGATTTGCTTGTTCGAGAGAAAAGTTGAAATCAATTTAGTGATTATCTCTACGATTGGTAAAATTAAATAAGGTTTGTTTGAATATAAACGTTTCATGAATTAATTCCGAGGAACACTTAAACTAGAATCTATCTTTTGCATCTTATTTTATTTTTATTTCATTTGGTAAATTAGTTCTTATTTTAATTTCATAGTTTAAAATCATCATCTTGTTCGTTAGTCTAAATAATATTTAATCGTAATTATTTTAGTACTTAATTAATTTAACTACAATCTCTGTGGAATACGACCTTGCTCGCCACTACCTATAGCTACGCCGTACACTTGCGGGTAGTAAAAATATTTTGCGAACAAAGCTCCAATTTCTGCCGGGCGGAGGTCGAAGTAGAGTTGAGTTCCCTTTCTCCCTCGTTTTCTTGCTTACCTGGGGCTGGTAGTGAGTTCTCGCCTGGTAAGTGTCGGACAATCGTCGGGGGTTGTTCG